ATTAGGTTCCGTTTGACGTGATATGTAGTGGGATAGCAAGTACAGGGCACTCCGGAAGAGTTTGAGCAGTGCAATATTAGGTTCCGTCTTGACGTGATATGTAGTGGGATAGCAAGTACAGGGCACTCCGGAAGAGTTTGAGCAGTGCAATATTAGGTTCCGTCTTGACGTGATATGTAGTGGGATAGCAAGTACAGGGCACTCCGGAAGAGTTTGAGCAGTGCAATATTAGGTTCCGTCTTGACGTGATATGTAGTGGGATAGCAAGTACAGGGCACTCCGGAAGAGTTTGAGCAGTGCAATATCAGGTTCCGTCTTGACGTGATATGTTGTGGGATAGCAAGTACAGGGCACTCTTGGTCCGACTACCATTGAATGAATTATACATGCAAGTGAGGTAATTTAAAGTAACTTATCATACTCTGTCTAGATCTAAATGACTGACAACGACGAATCCATTAATATAGTACGCGAAAGCAGCATATGTAAGATGTCAAACATGTCAAATGTGATTGCAAAATGGATACAAAAAGTTCCACGCTGTGTACAAACATGTACATTTGAGAGCCGCAAGGAAGACCCAAAGCGAGACAAGCGATCTTAATTGCTGTGGTTATTAAAGCGACTGGGCTCAAGATAAGGCGTAGAACGACACTTTTTCTTACAAGTGATAGTGTTTCAGTTAAGACTTGTTGAGGATGCAAAAGTCGTCTCTAAAATATGCATTTTTTATCATTTTCGGAAAAAAACACCGCATTTTTACGTAGCCCAATCCCTTCAGGCCCTCTAATGTAATGACCGGCGTAGAACATACGAGATGTAAACTACCGTGTTGTAATCGGACAACTTCCAGCTGCAGCTTTGGGTTTGTGTCACCTCCAGCCACAGCTTAGGGTCTGTGTCACCTCCAGCCACAGCTTCGGTCTGTCACCTCCAGTCACAGTTTCGGATTTGTGTTACCTTCGGGTCTGTGTCACCTCAAGTCGCAGCCTCTGGTCTGCGTCACGTCCAGCCACAGCTTCGCGTATGCATCACCTCAAGCCACAGTTTCGGGTCTGTGTCACCTCAAGCTACAGTTTCGGATCTGTGTTACCTTCGGGTCTGTGTCACCTCCAGTCGCAGCCTCGGGTCCGTGTCACCTCCAGCCGTGTCGGCCCCGGGGACTGGCGCTGCGGTCGGCGTGGGACGTCGAAGAGGCGTTTTGCACGTGCGAGCCGGAGAGCGATGCGGTCGGCCGGCCGGTAATTTACATCGGGCCGTGCGTGTGATCGGCTTTCTTCGGCTGCGGCCTCGGCTAACCGATAGCGGGTCGTTGCCACTAAATTGCCGGCTGATGGCCGCCTGACGTGTTTGTCGTGGATCCTCGGTCGGCGCGCCGTCTGTTGCGCCCGCCGGTCCCAGATAGCATCGGAGCTTTGCCGCGGCCGTCGCACCATGTCCAGCCGCCGTCTGATGAGCGGTGGCACCGGCAGCCAGGCTTTTTGCGGCCAAATTGTGCCTCAGCTCTTGTCCGACCTTTTGTTCGATGCGTTGCTGCTCAGTCGGACGCTGTATCAAACCATCGGCCGCTGGAGACAATGGCAGGTCTGATTCACATCAGTCGGCTGGTCCGCAGGGTCGCCTTGGGAACGTCGGCCACCAGACTCGACCACGCACGCATACTACAACGCACCTTCTAACATGCCACATGTCAGCATATTTTCAACAAATGCTGACAACATTTGAGCAGAGAACACAATAGCATAATGCAACGGCGCTAAACATAATGCAACGGCGCTAAAAATAGGATCACAAAAACAGCCATACTTGCATTGGTGCTGCAATACTTGGAACGGTTCAGCTCATCACCAAACGGTCTTCAACAGGCCACAGTTTTGATTACCGCGCTGCCTGATGACTTCATCCCATCAATTACGCCGCAGTCTTTGTGAGATGTCAGTGCACTTGATAAAGTAGCATAAGTTTTGAACGCGAGTATGGACGCGACTGGATACATTGCCGACCCAGTAACAATTCAAGGCACCTGCCTCGACCTGACGCCCACCTGCTCTCTAATTCTTGACAACGGTCGTCGGTTATGCGTGGCGTCAGCACATAGACGATGACTTCATTTAACGCTGGCTCTACACGTCCTCAGCGGTCAACCACGCTCAACTGCCGACGAACACGTGACTGATGACGCATTCCGATGACACGCGGCAGGCTTGGTCACGTGACCACTCGGCAGGCGGCTGTTTATTTACGCTGACAGCCCTTGCACACCGGCGTAAGCGGCGCGCTGGCGGCAGTCATAACACGATTTGTTTTCGTTCGTGGTCGCGCTTGGCCGCGGCCGGCGCCGGGATCGCCGCATCTCACTGAACTCGTCAACTCTGCCCCCCCCCCCGCCCTCCTACACCAGCAGCAGGTGTTTGGGTGTGTGCGCATGCATGGGCAGGTGTTTAAAGTCGTCAGGCGTGTGGTCACCACCTGGGGTCGGAAAGTGGCGGCCTCTCGGCGTCACGCGGAGAGGTCGAATTGCGCTCTCACTGAGCCCCGAAGCTGATATTTTCGCGTGACGTTTGTTCAGGCCGGGTCGATAGGTGGTTAATGCAAAATGAGACGTGCCGAATTAATTTCAGTTGCCTGCAGAACAGTTGAAGAGGCTAGAGAGTAGTTTCAGTGCCCTGTCATTCTGCCCCAAAACGTAATGTTGGTGTGTTTGGGAAAAGTACTCCAAGCAGGAGTGATATTCCTCGTAGATTAGTCTGCATTTAAATCATGCGCAACGCGCACATTATCAGGAACCAAATTGTACTCAATTTCCGTTCCCACCACGCACGCAAAGGCTTGGAAAGGCTTTGTATCATGTTCTGTAATCCATCGGAATATTCTAAACTATCTTGGTGAAACGTCAAGCTTAAGTTGTCATCCTAACTCCAATCTCTCATGAATAAATCACCATATTCTACTCCCGATTGGCACGGACTACGTAATGGTTATAGATGGGCGACCACAAGAATTTCCAAGCCGACAACTCAGCCAACTGTCATCGCTGGTAGCTGGAAGTCATTAAAAATAATCACTAGTCGCTGTCAAAGGTAGCTAGTAGGCACAATTAGCTCTTCAGAAATGCCGCGCTAGAACGTTCTGTTTAAACAGAACAGCAGTGCCAAGCGAGGTCTGCCGGATAATAGTCTACACGGCCTAACGTTTAGCCATGATCGACAGGTCATTAACGTTGACTTTCTTAAATGGTGCCTTACTTAAACACGTTAGGTATGAAGTGATGGAGGCATAATTTCTAAGCCAAGAACTAAGCTGACACGCTAGTAACAAACTGCAACGCGGAACTTATTGAACAGCTCTCGCCGATGGTGAATTAAATATATGCCAGAGCAGGATTTGAAAGTGTGCGCAACCCTTAATCATGACCAAAATCAGTTCAAGTTTGACGGAACGGTCTGCGGGAAACTTATTTGGTATGTATAAGCAAAGCGACTAGGTGAAACCGTATACATCTGGCCACAAACGTGCTGGCCATTATTTAGCTACCGGAAAGCAGATAGGACGGCCAGGTAATGACAATATCAAATGGCCATTCATAGAAATGAGGGCATCAACATGGCTAGAATGTCAGTGGGGTTCCACGGGCTTCGTCGTCCTTAAAATATGGCCAAAACGCTAAAATATCCCAATCTTTGCAAAGCATCTGGGGCCCGAACCTCACCGGCGGCAGCAGCGCAGCACCCAGACATAGCAGAGGACGTGTGACCCCAGCGGTGCTACACCGGGTCATGTCACGCGTCTGGCGGTGCCGGTCCCAGCCATGCGACTCCACGCTGCAGCTGAAGCTCCCCAGGTTATGGTGTTCGCGCCCGGATGACTCAAACGGTTCGCCCGCTTCGTTGCCTCTCGGCGTCGGCGAGTTTGGCGAAGAGATGACAGGGCATGCAGCGATGGAGGTGGAGGTGCGCTGGCGAGGGCAGCGACGGAGGCGGAGGTGCGCTGGCGAGGGCAGCACGACGGGGGTGGAAGTGCGCTGGCGAGGGCAGCATTGCAAACGCAGATGTGTTCACACAAGCCAGTCAGCAGACAAACCTTGCAACGGTACCGGCAGGAAAGCCACAGACGAAAATTGCAACGTGAGGGTATCGGGTCCCCCAAAAGTTGTGAGGTGTAGACTTGCTGAGCGTTCCAAATGCAGTCATCACTTGATTAGCCATTACCACGACTGCTTTTTCATTCAGTTTGTGAACACTTCTCACCTTTCTTTGTCCAAGAACACGGCTTAAGTTGTCGTTAAGGAAGTGCAGCTGGTGGATGGTTGCCAAAAGCGGGAACGGAGCGTGCTTGAGTGTTGAGAATGGCGATAGATGTCGGTGCATGCGATTGCATGGAAGAGGGGGTCTTAATTTGATTTGCTGGCATCATCTCTGGGAGCGGCGCCAATAGGAATCCAAGGTAAGCAATTACTGTAGCCTCTTCAATCAAGTCTCCTGGTCTCAGTTACACAGCCATTCGCATTTCTCTCTCTTTTATTCTATACGTGATTTGTCAGGCTATGTATGTACGTTTTCGTCATTTGCAGGCCTTCTAACGATGAGGAATGGGAACACACGCTACACTCATCGTATCTTCTGTGCTCGAATAAGCTGCGTCACAGAGCACGTCAGGACTCAATAAGCACGTCTGGACTTCTTCAAGGACTTACAATGCATCGTGCGACGTGGGAGTGTGTGTGTGTGTGTGTGTGTGTGGTGTGTGGGTGTGTGTGGTGTGTGTGGTGTGTGTGTGCGTGCGTGCGTGCGTGCGTGCGTGCGTGCGTGCGTGCGTTGCGTGCGTGCGTGGCGTGCGTGCGTGCGTGCGTGCGTGCGTGCGTGCGTGCGTGCGTGCGTGCGTGCGTGCGTGCGTGCGTGCGTGCGTGCGTGCGTGCGTGTGTGCGTGTGTGTGTGTGTGTGTGTGTGTGTGTGTGTGTGTGTGTGTGTGTGTGTGTGTGTGTGTGTGTGTGTGTGTGTGTGTGTGTGTGTGTGGTGTGTGTGTGTGTGTGTGTGTGTGTGTGTGTGAGCGTTGTCGTTTACTTCGCCGAAACGGCGTGGTATGTGAAACGAGCAAGGAAAGAGTAACAGCGCCAGTAGCAAGGCAAGCAACAACATACGCCTTCGGCCGAAAAGTCTCACCGTGGCCGTAATCGTAAGTCCAGTGACTATAACTATGCATCATCTTAGCAAGCAAGCATGCCATGATGTTGAGGCTGTAAAATATGAACATGATGGCCGCCGCGTCGACAGCGGGTCGATGGTGATACATTACGCGGGATGCAGACATGTACTGAAGGGAAACGTAAGGGGTCGCTCACCGTAGGACGACCCAGAGACATCGATTCAAAGCGGCGATAAGAGGTAAAGGGGGATGTTGAGGATGTACAATGACCAGTATTTCCACTGACGCTGTTCGCTATGATGTTTCACTGATCTAATACACCAGACGTGGAATGGCCACGACGCCACAAGACGCGTCACACTGAAGTCAAGCACAGGTCGGCAACGTGCTTGTCGCCATTCCAGGGCCGATGACTCCTGTTCGCAGCATTCCGCTAAGCTAAGTGCGTCTGATTTAAGCCTCGACAGCCGGGTTTTCGAGTCTTGGTCGGCGCTGACGCATACCAGCGCCGCCCGTTTGGCACTGCTCACTCTGGCTCTAGTACACCATCACCTCGCACAGGATGGCCGTGAAGAGCTTGCGCCAGCGGTTAGGCACGCCATACGCCTTGATGTAGACGTAGCGGCCCTGCAGCTCCCTGGGGCACGGCACGTGCAGACGGGGCCGGAACAGTGCGCTGTTGTCTCGACTGACATAGTCGCACTTGCTGCCCGACCTAGCGTCTACGCTGACCACGTGCTGCTTGTTGCTGACGTAGACGCTCAACTTATCCAGGTTCAGGGCGTAGTCGCGGTACTGAGTTGAATTGTCTGCAACACCAGAGCAAACTTATCCGATGTTGAAACCCAAAGTCTGTTTGCAGAAGTTATGACATGCCAATTCGTGTCGGTAATACCGTCTTGGCCATCGTAGATGTTCAAAACGTTAGTTGGGCAAAGAGAAAATCGCGATAGTTGTGTATTGGCGTGTGGTAGCACATCGAAGTTCAGCTTTCCTTATGTTGACGTCTGCAAGGCATACGTTCTCTTTATTTCACCGCACGCGTTTTGCATTCTCACTTCCGTCTTCCCTACCGCACACGCAACGAGCTGTGAAAGCGTCGATAAGGGCTCTCCATCATTGTTGATCGGTCACCTTCACATTTTTTTCGCGCCAGACTGTGTCACTTACCTTGGCCTTCGCCGTCCCATGGTATGCCACTCACCTTCGCCTTCGCCGTCCCATAGCGTGCCACTCACCTTCGCCTTTGCCGTCCCAGAGCGCCATCACCACCCCGTTCATCTTCCTGCGACGTCCCAGATCGACCATCCAGACGGGGTTGTCGACGTAATAGTTGTCGAGGATGGCGCACTTGTTGAGGTGGTTACTCTCGTCGCCGTCCACAGCCAGCTTCGAGTTGCCGTAGGTCCAGTCCTTCCATCTCTGGCGCTTGTCATTTACCCAGGTTGGCCGCTGGTACGCCATGTTCTCAACTGCAACATGCAGTCAACACGCTTTGAACAAAACAGACCATGACAAACCAAGATAGCTCGGACCACACGCCCGCAAAAAGTAAGATAGCTCGGACCACACACCCGTAAAAAGTTACCGTGATGGTCGCACTGCAATGCATCTTAAATATCTTTTATTGCAACGTGATGTGGCCGACCCAAGTCTGTAGATGAAGCTAAATGTTACTTCCGTTATCGTGGTCTATTTAAAAATAGAAGAAAGCATGTAAAAGATCTCACTTGTCCTAGCTGGTTCTAGACTCGGACAAGCATTGGCTCTTGCCCAGAAGTACTCATGTAACTCAAACTAGAATCTTTCCCGTTCCAAACTCACGGCAGGGTGACCCCTGGTTGACTCGGATGTAGCCGGGGCCACAGGCACCTCGATTGGGACAACCCAGTACTCCTGCCCTCATAGCAATCTGCTTGTGCCAGTCAACAGGGTGAAGCCGGATATAGCTGGCCACAAACGGCTGGTTGAGGTAGTGGCGTCGCTCGGTGGCCCTGTCCATATTGCCGGCAAACACCTAACGAAGAAAAGACCAGGACAGTAAACGCTGCGCCGACGCCAGGGCAGTAAACATCATCGACGCCGGACCAGTCAAGATCGTCGACGCCTGACCGGTCAAGATCACCGACGCCAGGCCAGTAAAGGTCACCGACGCCAGGCCAGTTAAGATCCCCATCACTATCGTTGGAACACTCTCTGGCTCGAGTGAATGACAACAATGAAAGTGTTGCTGATTCTTGAAAGTGCTTTGAGGCTGATCATACCATGTGTCTTCTGCTGACCTTTGGGTCGAGGTGGTTGTCGTCCTTGTAGAAGTGCCAGACGACGCTGTTGTTGCTGTAGGACAAGCTGTACTGAGTGACGTACCGCTGTCTCCTTCCATCTCCGCGGCCCAAGGTCAAGATGCCGGTCACCTTGCGTGGCGGGCCAAAGTCGAACTGAAGCCACTGATTTCCTTGGGGAAGAGAAAAAGCCATTGTAAGGGCTGCGTGTGATCACATGGTGAACTACTTGGGACACATGCATGTGTAGACCATGTTTTGGTTGCCTGATAAATCTGCATGCCGAAATAAAAAAAATTATTTGTCTTTGTATCTCAATCAGTTGTCATGTCTTACCTAAATAGGCATAAAACCCTGTCGTGTCCATCTGTCTGAAGCGCCAGCAAACTCACAACTGCTCAAGACACTTAAATCTGTCCCTTAACAGGCCTTGTTAATGCAGATAATTGTTTGATATTGTGCGTTGCCAGTAAGGCCAGGTTTGGACACACGGAACTTTGTCCTCCAGCCCTGCGCTGCTCACTGTTTTTGTGCCTGGAGCACCAGGCTGAGCTACTGAAGATGACGCCGTCCTCTGGCTGGCAGGATCGTCTCCTCCGCCAGCGGGGCGAACTGGAGGCGGTCACCTTGGCGTGTGGTGGCACGCTGATCAGCTGACGACACTCTGAGACAGAACACGACCATAGTGACGTCACGCTGTAAGAACAGAACGGAGGGCAGCTGACCACGCTCTGAGACGGAACGCAACAGCAATGGTGACGTCGCGCCGTCAGAACAGAACGGAGGGCAGCTGACCACGCTCTGAGACAGAACACGACAATGGTGGCGTCACTCTGCCAGAACAGAACGGAGGGCAGCTGACCACGCTCTGAGACAGAACACAACAACAATGGTGACGTCACGCTGTCAGAACAGAACGGAGGGTAGCTGACCACGCTCTGAGACAGAACACAACAACAATGGTGACGTCACGCCGTCAGAACAGAACGGAGGGCAACTGACGACACTCTGAGACGGAGCACGACAATGGTGACGTCACACTGCCAGAACAGAATGGAGGGCAGCTGACGACGTCTGGGAAGGACACAACAGTGATAAGCTGACGACATTCGGGGAAAACAAAACAGTGGTCCTGACGACATACGAGAAAAGACAACAGTGTTCAGATGACGACACAACAAACACAACACACAGTCCAAACGGGAAAACGAACTGAGCACCAGCCCGCAAAAGGACGGAACAACGAAAAAGTAAGACCGAGTCGTCCACGCGCCGGAGCATAAGTCAGCTAAAAACACGCTAGCATTGCACAGTAGAGCGCTGGTCAATTGCATGCCTGCTGGGCCTTTGGACGGTGTAGAAACCGGGATACCAGTTATCCAACAAAATCTACATCAGTTGTGGTGTGTCGTTTCGACTGGGGAAGAGCTTCCCTACGCCTCTTTGCAAAAGGACGTCCAGTTCAACCTGGCTCAGGCGGATCTAGTACTCCAACTTAGGGGCCGAGGTAGCAACGCCGAGTTGGGAGGGGGAGAGCCAAAAGGTATCATTTTTATGAAATAAATTTACATTTCATTTGTGATCAAATTTTCTCAAGCAAGTGGTTTCAAATAAATTTCGCTGTTGCAAAAATCGCTCAGCTTTTCTTCGAAACCCACGAATGTATCTTGCTACCCAGCCATCTCGCTACCATGGGGGACATGGCCCCGTTGCCCCCTCCCCTGGGTTTGCTCTTGATCGGCTGATCGGCTGGCTCATGATCTCTTGGTAACAGCTGAGAGGTGACAGGCACACATCAGCCTTGTATGCCTGTCTGATTTGATTATCCGAGCGTTTAGTACATGCATACCATGATAACGCGCAGATTTGTAACGTGCGTGAATAAACTTGACGGTCAATGTACACATGTGCGTTCAAGCCCCACGACCAGCATACTAGGATGCTGAGTAATTGCGTAAACTATTCTCGCAGAAACCTACTCATTATTCTGCACACAGACAAGGGACGGTGTTTCCTCTTCATCATAATGAAAGGCAATTTTCGGAAATGTTGCGTGCAAACTATTGGTTCTTTACGGCGTGTAATGTCTTGACCAGATTACACCATGCAGCGATGTTAATAGCTTAATTTCGGTTCCAGACGCACGGTGAACTATGCCGAATAAAGCATTCTAATCGCATCTAATGGCACTATTTTATCAAACATATCTTCTCATTCCTGGACTATTCCTATCATAGGCGTAGGAGCGTTTCAAAAAGTGGGGGGCCAAGCCCAGTGCGTACTTCAGGAAACCTTTTTTTGGAAAACATGCCCGATGACCGAGGAGGGTGAAGTAGAGATGAAGGTTATTATTCTTTACTCAAATGTAATGACGGCTATGCTAGATATGCATCTAGAACTGTTTCTCAGTGGTTTCACACTCTTGCCTATCCGACTCATCCATGGCATTCGGAAAATAAAGCTTTCCAGCTTCCCAAGATCATTCGTCCATTTCAACGTTGTCTTTCCTGGGGAGCCTAAATTCCACGAGCGGATAGGCATTTTGGGTCATTGAGGAGGCATCTGTCTCCACAGGATAGATGCCAAAATATGGGCCTAAGCATACGCTGGTGAGAATTTTGAAAGTGAAGAGATGGCTTACAGCACAACAGATTTTGCATGCGCCTCATTTCGCTGGCTGCTTTTCAAGAAATAAGACTTGTCACGCCATTTTAGGCGGAAACAAGTTCGGAAACTTGAAACTGCCAAAAATCAAGTGACAAAACCCATAGAACTGGAGATTCTCCTTTGAAAACCAAGCCGCAGAATGAGGGCCCTTCTGTCACATATTCCTTGTCTGAGACCTGCTCCCGTCCGCCGTCGGTGGCCACTGCCCTGGTCCGGCTGTCTCCGATTGACGGCCGTGAACTGATGGCATGGATGCTTTGTTGCAAATTTCTGGATCAGCATTGCTACTAATTGGGATGTAAAACACGTGTTGGACACCTGCAACGGTGCTTTTTCCGAATTATCTTCCCTTACACCACACTACCCCAGAAAAAATGTCGCCGGGAAGCTGCCTACTTTAGGTATGAATTGGCCCAATGGAGATTTATTTGCACGTCATTCAACGTAGATGACTTGATCTGCTCTGGTGTGTTGGCAGGAGGTAACCAGAGCCTTGGTAAGAGGAACACAAGGTTGGCAAAAACCCCCTTTATGGTGATCCCCCCCCCCCCCCGCCGCCACAAAAAACATCCCCGGCCACAATCGACTTGTTCACAAGGGACACGGTTTTCTTCGTTTTATTGTTACTTTTACGTTGTAACTAGAACATAAACCAGAAGCTACCGTCAAATCAATTCTGTTTACATTTTAACACGCGCCTGGGTTGCCGGCTAGATACCTTTTGCTCGGGCCAGTGGTCAATTTGACCCCCTGAGATCTCGGGAACTAAGGGAGCTATAAACACAAAATTCACAGGGTGTGTTGACCTGTGCGTGAACTCACTTAGGCCAAAGTTTGAGGTTCCTAGATCACGACTTTTGGGGCAAATAAAGTCAAACAAGGTCAAGTTCCAGGATGGTCTCTAAAGTGGCCCCAGAACCTAGATAACTATTTCTGAGCACAAGGTCACATGTTCAGTTCAGGTCAGTGACCTTGTTTGACTTTTTGAAGGTCATGGTGACAAAAATCATGTAAGACTGCTCTGAGTTTTGCATTTGAATAAGCCAGAAAGGTTACGCTAGGCAGTATGTTTTTAAAAACAAAACGTTGACATGCGTCATTTTAGGTCAATGACCTATTTGACCTCTAAGAAGTCCATGGACGATGTATAATGCGGTTCCTGCTATCAATAAATTCGAAAGTGAGCACCAGAAACTATCCCATAGAGCAAACCCTAGAGTAATAAAACAGGTCGGTTTTGACCTTGGTCTGACCTTTATACCTACCCCTAGGTCAACGTAATTTGCTCATGTAATACTTGTGTTGCTTAAGAAAGGATCTCAGATATGTGTGGCTTCGTCTACCACTCCAATGTTGCCTCAGATTGAACGATTCCCTAGAAGTCGAATTCGCTGAAACCATGGCCTGACTTTGACCTGCCATAGGTCAAAATCAAAGGACAAGCTTTTGATGCCAAACGATTGGCTATTCAATGGTCTACAGCTATGCAAAACATGGTGCGGTTGCGCCTCGCCGTTCAGAAACCATTCTGGAAAAACCTTCGGGGGGCGGGGGCGAGTCAATTTGATCAATTTCACCCCCACCCGAGCGCGTGTTCAGATCAATAACCTGCAGAAATCAGGCGTTTAACGACTGCATGGAATAAATCACCGGTGTCCTTAATTTGCAATGGCTTAATGAACTCTTTCCAAACCGATAGAATTCAGAAGCTTTTTCGTAATATTTTATCTGCGTTCTACGGGCATTGAGGACATCGGGAAAGTAGGCTGTAGATTGATACGTTTAATCGAAATTTGAGGGTGAAAATTTTGATTGCAGATCGAGTGGCCAACACTGGGTATTAACATCGCCAAGCCATGCTGGTCTGGAAATGTTTAACATTTAGTCAGAATCATTTTGTGATACAATTTATATCACGTGATTTTTAACATGCGCGCTCGCAAATCGTAATAAAAACCTCGACACCAGGTGTTGCAGTCTCCATAGTCGGCGGAGCACCAGTTCAGTGGTTAACTTTTCGTCATGATCCACCGGTGGACGTAAATGATGACGGTTCCGAAATAATTACTTTTAAACACTTGAATCGGTTAGTAATAACAGTTGCGTGACATAATTTTGAGCATGAGTAATCGCAAATCTTAGTTTAAAAAATATCGACACCAGGCATTGCAGTTTCCGTAGGCCGCGCAGCGTCGGTTCAACAGCTAATATTGAGCCGTGGTCAACGGGTGGACGAAAATGATGACGCTTCTGAAAGAAGTACCTTTGAACGCTTCAGGACATCAAATCTTACATCTACAAGGCAGTCTGGGCGCATATTTCACGTGTGCGATTTTTAGACTGATGATAAGAACGGATTGGCCCTTAAAGCACCGCGAACTGGTGCTGGAACCTGGTGGTGGAACTAGAAAAGTAAAGGTAGATTCTCTATCATCGCGTTTCTCTAAATATTAGTCTGTCCAGAAGACAGATTAACACGGCGTCCGCCGTCTGGTGGCACTTGCAGTGGCCGATGCCGTTCGGTTTTACGGGAGCTGCAACCCAGACCATCGCTGTCGTTGCTCTCAAGGTTGCGGACGGGCATGTTCAAACCTTTTATGTACTTTTTTCACTAATCCATACAGAAAAATGAACGTTCGTAGGCAAACATTGTTCCTTTGGGATGCCCTTGTTCGTTTTCTTTGAACTCATTTTGACCTACTCTTCAACAATAATGAGACCTTCACTCTACTCAACAATAACGAAGCCTATTATTTCCTTCCGGGCAAGGGACCCCTTGAGAAGAACACCAAGAGCACATTACCGGTTCCGTTCAAGAGCTGAAGGGCCACTCCGTCTCATCGCGAAGCGTCTTCTGGCTGTCATTCTAGCCACACGGGGTGGGATCTCCTGGTCGATACGGAGGCCATTGGAAGGATATATTTTATCACACTGTTCCCCTCCCCGATACGGGAGGCCTTCTGACCCGCGCAGTTGGCCCCGGATCAGCTCAGGAACCCTCCTTGGCGCAACAACATCTCTGATCGTCAAAGGTAGTCTAATAATTGTCACACAGGCTCCAGTTCCGTGTTTTTCTGTTTTCTTAAGAGATATTGAGGAATCCCTGAACGTAGATGGTAGACGAAGTGGGGTCCTAAGCTTGTATTGACGTGGCTAATCCATGTCCGTCTTAAAATGTTCAAGATTCAGTCAGAATTGATTACTGGTACAACACTGTGTAATATGGTTTTGAACATACGCGCTCGCAAGTCATAGCAACAACAGCCTGAACGCCAGGCGTTGCAGCCTCCATAGGCTGCCTGGCGTCGGCCTGCGGCTGTGACACTAAGCGATGGCCAATAAGAAAACAAAAAAGTTGACGCATCTTGAGGAAGATGACTGGTGAACTAGGTAAATCAGCATGTATATCTAAATGTGGTGCAAAAGTAAACTAAACACACCCTTAATCTGAAAAGTGGGCGACCAGTTAACACTGCTGGCCCCCACCCTGAAAAGTGTGGGGGGGGGGGGGGCATGGCCCCCCTGGCCCCGCCCTGTTCCTACGCCCATGATTCCTATTAAAGACGTTGCATGTCGGCAGCCTATACCGGCTGAAAATCTGTCATGGATTTTAAAGGCAAACCCGAACATGCCACACACACAAGGTTTCACATTTGCTGCTGCTGATGGGCCATGGCTTACCTTGGCAGCCGATGAGCTCCAAGCGCATGCTGGGGTGGCCATGCCACTCCATCACATGGACGCGCACGAACCGAGCTGTGATTGGCTCGTCCAGGTACAGGTGACGCAGCGAGTGTGAGTCCGTGTTGGCTGAGAACGTCTGCGGAGGCCATAATTAAAGCCGCGACTATTAAAGCTGCAACGAATTGCTAGCACAGACAAACCAACGTTTCATAAATGTGAAGTTTATCTAAAACGCTAGTAAGAGAGTTCTTCAGCTCCTGTTTTCGCGCGATGTGGGTTCTTAAACAGCAGGTTATCATTGAAACACATAATCTACTGATCACACTGCATACATTGAATATATGCATACACTGCATATATTGAACATATGCAGTGTCCGTGACGCAAACATGCAAAAAAAAACTGTTTTAAAAAAATAACAAACCCTACTGTGGTTCAAGTATTTTCCTAATATTTTTTAATGGTGGCTCGATCTATTTTTTCAATCAGTCTCTGACATAACCAATGCCGGCTAGTGCCACCAGCAGAGCTTCTAATGCTGATATATGGCGATGATTATCACGATTGCGCACACATACGCACTCGTACACGTGCTTTTCGTAAATTATTTTCTGCATACCTGTTTTTTTCCGTAGATGTCGTTTGTGAACTTCCATGTATAGGCGTCATCGCTGTACGACAGAACAAACTTGGTGACCCACTGCTTCCCATCGCCACGTCCCTGGGTCATGACGCTGGAAATCTGCACGAGAAAGCCAGTGTCAGCAAATGCGGCACAAACGTGATAATAAGGTCCGACTGCATCATACGTAAGCATACCGGACCCGGAAAATAAGCGTTCTAATGCAGACATGCAAGGCGTCACGTTATCACAAGTTGCGCGGTTTCTGCTGAATCAGGCGCAACACTATGACAAAAGTACTTGAATATGCCTTGATCATACAACATAACTAAAGGGTGTCAGTCTGTGTGTATTTTTCCGAGCGTATCTGTGCGTCATAGTGGCGCAAAAAGGTACTAAATCATCGAAAAAGGCACCGGGTGTATTTTTGGGTGACTCTCTAGCTGCAAAGGTATATAATGTGGAAGAATGGACCTTCGCTGTGAATTACCATGATCAGACAGTATGTGGTCAAATGCCGATCACCCTATCCAAGTTAACACCATGACATCACCACCATTCGCCTGGTTTGACATCGATCGATCGGTGACAGGTGTCTGAAAGTATTATGTCACCAATATCAGCAAGAAGCACCTAGCTAATACATGCCTTGACCCAGCTGATCAAAACAAAATCCGGCCATGAGCCCACTAATCATAAACCGGTATAAATGGGTCCCTCTGGCCGTAACCTAACCTGACCCAAGATATAAAGATCACTTCACTACGCTCCTGCCCTGACCTGACATGACCTTCATGCCACCATCCATGAGACTATCTCATCTTGGACCTGTTATTCAGGATATCAGCTCTGCTCCACTGACTGTGACTCAACCCCGGACCACACTGACCGTGGCCTGACCGCTGCTCCGGACCCCACTGCTCGTAGCCTGACCTCTGACCCCACTGACCGTGGCCTCGACGCCGAGGTCGATGAGTAGCCACTCGGCCTCGCGCTTGTAGCCGGCGCACCAGGCCCGTCCGCTGGGACCGTGCAGCCGGGCGTACTTGGTGTTGCAGTTCTTGTCCGAGCTGAGGGTGCTGCTGGCCGCCACCTGCCAGTCCTCCACCTCCCCCGTCATCAGGCCCAGCGGCTCCGAGCACCCTGTGAAATCAGAGCGGCTGTGTTATGGTTGAGGCTCGTGAGGATGCCACCAGTCTCTTGCGTCCTTCAGCACGGAACTATTACTATTTTGCTCGCTTCTAGAACAGGTACCCCTTTTAACGTTACGTATCCGTCCTCACGCGTTCTATGTTTTTGAAACCCTGCCATTTATTGTTATTACGTTTCTCCCGATATACACAATAAAAACCAGCTCATTTGTACAGATGTTACTCTCACCAGGAGGGAGCTGTTATCACTCGAGACTTTGCCAGGAAAATGATTGGCACTTCCTTGCCATCAGATGCAATACTAAGCTAGAGCTATGACACAAAAGCCAGTGGGCAGTCCGGTAAACAAGAAACCAAACGACACGCCTCTTGCTAATCAACACTTGCAGCCTGTCCCTTCATGACGAAGATAAAGAACCATCTGCAAGAAGTAGAAAGTATTCTTGAGGCGTACGTGGATGATATCTTCGTCCTCAGTGTTTGGGAGATTTTAAGACAAAACGTGTCCCCATACAATACAATGCAAACACCGTGTTTTCGTTATATAATATCAGATACATTCTCCTCACAGAAAATATGCACGTTGCATGCAAATATGCATGCGTGCACGTTGATTTCAGCGTTGCCCTCATAACCTTCGCAGGGCACTTGTTTCTTAAGGATAACAACCGTTCGCCGTTATCTATAAACATGCTATCATGCTCCTTAGCTCTCAGCTGGCCAGACAACCGCGTTGCTCCAACATGTCATGAGTTGGTGCGGTGAGCTCTTCATGCACTGTATTCAGCCCCTAAACAGCAAACTTGCCTTCAAAAATCTTACCGTCGACTGTGAGGGGGAAGACGATGGCGGTCCATAGGACCAAGGCGGATGCCAAATGCCACATACGCGTCATGCCTGCAAGAAGACAGTCATCAGCAAAGATCATGTTACTGAGCCAACCAGTTCAAGAAACCAGGTATACCAAGACTCACGGTCACGTTCAGACTGCACAACCTAAATTAAGAATAGATTACGTTGCGAACAACTTGCTCGCCATGTGCAAGATGTGACAACCCACCTGTCTGAGGTAGTACATGCCAAATAATACCCTGAAAATAGAACATCATAAAGATCTTACCGTCAAATAATTGCAGTGCTTTCGCCTTTGAGCGAACGGCCATCACCGTTACGGAGTTCTTTGGCTTTGCTCCGTAACAAAGCGACTATCACCGCGTAAATTAACTTTAAAGACAAATGTTGAACGAGCGAGGCATGAGGCCGGCTGTCTCGGCCCCATTGGACTCTGCTGGTCGTGCGTCAGCCGCCGTGGTGAGCAGACCGAAGCCTCGCAGGGCCGACAACGCCCTTGATCGACTAACCGGATCGAAAGTCTGCTCCCAACCCTCGACCGCGTCTGGTAACAGAGGTGCTGCGGCTTCCCGACCGGTCAGTGATTGCTCACTGCGGCGAGCAACACGCGCCAGTCCGCCTGCCTACATGATGCGCTCGCTTGCACGTATAAATGAGTAAGGCCCCGCCGTGCGGTGATCACCATGTAAGGAACCTTCACTCTCATCCATCTAGTTGGCAGTCTACGGAATGTGCTAATATAAAGTTGACGACAATTGAACAGAGACAATATGAACAAAACACGAATGATTTTCGCAGTGCTACAGCCGAGAACACCATCAAATACATCATATTGTACTTTGGTTGAGCGCCTTCGCAGAAAATAAAACGTATGCAACGAACACAATTCCAACCACACTACTTGACAAATCCAGCTAAAACCGCCGATTTCCATTTGCATTACCATACGAATGGACCAACAGCCTGAAGGGAGCAAAGAACAACTCCACCACCTGACAGCTGACTGCCGCCCGAGATCTGAACGCCTTCTAATCGGCCCTGACGTTCGCTTTCGTAACGGCTGACACGGAGTGAGCGGTGTCGGTCCGGCGCGCTGCCGTCCGGGCGGCGTTACTAACGAAATCAGGAAAACACTGCAGCGCCGTCCGATCCAATTAAACGGAGCACTCGTTAGCCAGGTGGAGGAAAGTGTCGCGCACTTTGTAGGTGGATAGAATCAGCCGGGGCGAGGAACGTAGTCCAGCTGTGTGCTTTTCGACAAACGTTGAGTTCAAGCGCCGAGCGAGGCTCCTCTGTCCCCAGTGCTCTGCACGACCGCTGTGAACTCTTCAGACGATGTTCGAGCTTCACTGGGGCGAGATAGATCTACGTGCTGTTAAGATGTGCGGTAAATTCGTAGATTTGGTGTCATGTACCTGAGTCTCATGAGACCAAAATTACGTGGGAGACTGGCTGAACAACTGGCCACAAACATGCCAGGCCAGGCCATGATAACAGTGCTGGCTGACCTGACCTGTCCAGCACAACTGATTTGCGACCGTCCGGCCGTGTCTATTCAAAAGCGACCTATTCAAGTACGAGCCTCATCTCCCAGCGCCTCCGTTTGTACGGCGTCCCCAATTTGCCGGCCTGTCCGCCACCGTGTCTGTTGCCCGCCACGCAAGTGAGAAACGCCCCGAGATCGGCATCGCGGCGCAATTTAGGGTCGGCCCGCCTCGCGGCCGTAAGTCACCGACGGCCGGCGGCGTCCGCTGATCCTATCACCGGCGGCTGGCCGTCCCCGCTGGCGCGCGCGACACTCACGACCCGTCATTACCCGCTCGTCAGCGGGCTGGCGGCCGGCGCCGCGACCGCCGCAGCACCGCACCACAAGTTAATTTATCGACTGTGATGGGCCGAGGTTGATTTGAGTGCCGCCGCTGACGGCTGCGTGCAGCTTGCGCGCTGAACAGGAGCTGCGCTGAGAGTCGGCCCCTCATCACCCGCCGCTCCCGGTCCGGATATTGCGCACGGTGTGTGAGTCGGGCCCATCCGGACACCAGCTGTACGGATACTCGCAGTCCGAAGTGATGGCGTTAACGTACAACGCAGCACGCAGGACGTTTCATCGTCGGCACCTACATTAGTAAGGATAAACATCCCAGGAAGTCTGATCGCAGACGCCACCGAGGTATTAACACAGCCCAAGCTGCCTGCTTGTCGGCTCGCGGAAATCGCGACCGGATTGTGAAGCCTTCCCGGGCCCACGCTTACCTGTTTAAGGCACGTTTCCAATTTGCACGTGGCAATTTGCGTGAGGTGTTTCATGGCCCCGGCGTCACACTCGCCATTTTTGGCGCCGCTTCCAGCGTGCTTTTATCCCCGAGTCCGCCTGTTTCGCTCGTTCCCGGCCGCAGATCGGTGTAATTTTGTGTTAATGGCCGGTTAGCGTCGGAGGTGGGGCCGGCGCTGCGGCCCTGTGATGTGGCGGCGACTCGACCCGCACCCGGCCGCCCGGCGGCCCGCCGGCGGGGCCCCAGCAGGTCCACGCCGCCCCGACCGCTCCCTCCACCGGCGCGACGGCAGGACGCAGCACAGGAGCATTGCTGGACATGGCATGTTCGTGCCAGAGTGATCCTAGTTCAGCCCGCAGTCCATTCTCTGACCGCTCCCCGAATTCGCGAGGCTTCGCCGTGCGCCGCCGGCACTGGGGCGCGGTCGGGCAGGTGCACGCCCCGGCAGTGTCAGGGCTCCTGTTTATTCGACTGGTGGTGGCCTTTGCCCAGACTCAGCAGTGACCACGAGCAGGCCGGGGCCGGCCGGAGCGTCGGCCGCAGCGACGGCCGGACGGCAATGGGCCGAACCGCATTCCATCCTTCACTTGCGGACGCTTTCTTGCTTTGTCCTTCCGCGTGGGGCACCGCCGCGCGGAAGCGGAAGCTTCGCCTCTAATATTAAGTCGCATTGCACTTCTATAAGCTGGTTGTGAACTTCTCACAAAAATCCTATGGCTCAGGTATGCTAGATTAAGCATAAATATTCCATTAAAAAATAATGGAACGTTGTTTACCATGACCTACAGCTGGCTATCGTTGGCCGTTGTGCGCAGCGTGCTCCCTTTCCTGCCTGCGGGCCCTTGAGAGCGCGGCATAAGGCTCGGCAGTCAGCTGACACCGCCGGCTCGCGGCCGCCGGCGTCGGGAGCAGGGCGGCCCGCTCGCACGGCACGTAGGGGGCAGGCGGCCGCCGGCGTGCCACAGCTTTCCACGCCTTATGGCTTCCGCGACTCGACTGGGGCGGGATTCCTCACGTGGCGTCTGGGCCGCGGTCGGATGCTGAGGCTGCGCTCAGGAGCTCAGCAGCTCAGCAGCTCGGGCGACAAGTAAGTGACAGTGTGGGGATGTTTGAAATAAGTGAACAGGTGACAGATCCCGTATGACAAAGGCATTCAGGCCGCAAAATGTTTACGCCATAGCTTGAACAGCTTGTTGATTCATTCTGGGAGTTATGACACATAAACAGCATTAAAGCCTGCTTTGCACGCCACTTTATGTAGCCCCGTAGCATAAAATATGGCCACGATTTACTTCATGCAGACATACAGCCAGTGAACAGCGAAATTTGGTCCAGCAAGCTGTATCGCAGCTGGTTGTCTTACTGTTGACAGACTGCGAAAAAATGTTCTGCTTTTTGTATCCTATCAGCATACGGTATGTACCATACCCGAGAAAGAGGGCGACGACGATTAAACTAATTACATATATTTGATTCCGTTTTTCTCTGTCTAGCCTTTGGAAAAGCCCAACAAAATGGAAGAGCTGTATTCAAATGAGACACAACGTTGGATATCATTGTCATGCAAAGGAGATATGACTGCTGTGGCAGATGCCCACTAATATGCCGTTCACGCAGGAAACGAACAAAATGCCACCAAGGGCATATCAGTCCTGCTGATGTGCCATTTCTCATCGCTTTGATAATGACATGTTTTTTAGAGCCATACACCTATCACAAATAACCACTTTCTCAAACGACGCCACCCTAATTGGCAGCTCTGTCATTCGGTCACGGGCTGTCAACCCCGCTCTACTTGTCGCCGCGGTGCGACCGCGGCCTGGCCTCAGGTCGATGACAGGTCAATTGCGGGGGTGAACCGCTGCTGTCAAGCCGGCTGGTCGCCCTCAGGCCGGGACGAACACGTCCGGTGCCTCGTCGCCGCAGGAGCCACAGTGACCGCCAGCGCTGGCACGTTCAAGCCCCGGTTACCGCCGGTAGTGGACGCGTCTCGGCGGGTGCGGGTGTCGCGGCCAGGAGCCGCGGTCACTGCCGGCAGTGGACGCGTCCCGGCGAGTGCCGTGGTCACCGCGGGAGTTCCGGTCACCGCCGGCGGTGGACGCGTCCAGCGGGTGCGGGGGTCGCGTGCGTGCGGCGCGCGAGTGCACGCCCGGCCCGTATCGGCCCCCGGCGCCAGCACCCGTGTCGACACCGATCTGTCCGCGTGATTAGGTGCCGGTTTGGCTGCTGGCTTGCGGATTGGGGCCGACGCAACTGCAATCCGAAAGCAGGAATTCGGGGGCAAGGTGCTCAACGCAGCCTCGACGGCGGTGGTTGGCTTGTTTTCCGCGTAGAACAACCGTGCACCGTACGTGTTCTTCGTATATCTGATTAATGAAGGGTCAAATCGGTTTGTCTTGAACATCAGGGTTTGTCATCTTCCCATCTTTTAACGTTTGCCCTTAAACACTTTTGATATAATTTATGCGGTTTCCAAGAATGCTATTAGTTGGAACCAGCGCGCCTACCGTTCAGTCAAATTATTGGATAAATAGTTATACCCACACCTCCGATTAGCTGTCTGTTCTAAAAAGCGTTCTGCACTTTCCAACCAAACATCAGCTTCCTTTGAAACCAGAGGACGACTTAGAAACGAAGGTCTTGGTATAAATGCCAGGAGACGATGGAGTAATATTTATTTATTTAGATGTGTGCCAATAAGTGAACAAGCCATTGCTACCTCCGAAGCCCGCGGAATATTTGCCCCTGTCGAGCTCACCTGTAATCAACGAGGCTGTGTGTTTGTCTACAGCTGACTCTCCATACGCGGGCCGCTGTCGCCCGTCACTGTTTGTCCGCGGGCGTCACTGGCGGGCCTCACCGCTCACATGGCGCCGCATCGGCCGCTCACAGACCGCTCGCCGACCCCCGTCCGGTGCCAGAGGCCCCGTCAGTCGACGCGTCACACACGCTGACGGCCGCCGCGTCCGCCGGTGCCGTTGGAGACAGCACGCAGTCACGCGGCCGGCGCCGCCCGTTGCCTCCTCCGTGTTCGGCCCGGCCGTCCGCTGTCGGCTGCCCGCCCCCTGACGGCGTCCGGAGTAGACTGAGGTCCGAGACGGGGGCCGGCCTGAGCGGCCCGCTCTCGCCCTCTGCCGGCCGCGCCCCCCGCACTCTGGCCAATCAGGCCAACGGAAACTAGACTGCGGAATCCCAGTACAACGTGCTGACAGGGAAGCTAGCAGAAACACCGGCTATCAGGTCACGAACAGGGACGGTGAACGATATCATTTCAAAATTAATCCGGGACGACAAGCCCTTAGATAACTTGCAGTTTGATTGCATTAAAAACAGATTCTTGCGTGCTGAAGAGTGGTTAGAGGTGACAGGTGTTCGTAACAAATTGTATCTTGCTAATTAAACGTTGTGGTTATTATGTAGTTTAGACCCGAATAATAATTTTAATTGCCCGATGCGGACCGGCCTCAAGCAGCGTGAGACGTGTTTAACGCTCGATAAGAGGCAAATTTTAGCATTTTTCACGTTTTCATGTCAGCACATTATAGTTATGAGAGCATTAAGCCCAGCACACTGTGGGAAACATATTACCAGTTGGGCCCCAACCACGGAAGCTGGAGTACTTGATGATGTTACGCGCAAGCGCAGAAGGCATCTTATATATTTACTAATGTAGCATAGCATGCCTCAGCTGTCTCAGGCCCATGTTAGCTTGCCTGGAAGCCCTGTTCCATGTAGTCATTTTCAGTGAGATATAAGTAAGCAATTTTATTCTGGCGCGTCCATAGTTTGGTGTGGACATCCCAGACGTGTCAGTGACTGAGTGACGCATGGATCAGTTGCAATGCATCCGATGAGCCTACTACACTTAGTACGCTGTCCTTTCAGCAAAGCTAAACTGAGTATCAATGGGGCACGCGTCGCAAAGTTCAGAAAAAGTCAGTTCTCCCGCGAGACAATTGACTATCACAGCCTTGCTAGACACGCGGGTGGCGAGCACAAGCAGACATGTTTCGCATGCCCACACAAGTACCTGTCATATGCCCCGCCAATGACTGAGGGACTGATACTCGTCCGTCTCGCCTTCCTTCTCATATAGACGGATCGCGACCCACCGCAGTTCATTGCCATCTGGCATGCCACAGCAGGCATCAGTGGTGCAAAAACCCAGCCGACACCGTTTATACTGGTGTGATGAGATACGTTCTGGGCGAAGGAACTTCGCTGAACATCGACCACGATTGACGTGGCCCGTCTTGCTATGAGCGTGGCCTGTGTAATGCTGCTTCTGATGCTGCCGAAGTGCCCGGCCGTGGTCGGATCTCTGGTCTAATGCCACAGCTGTGCTCGGCCGTCGTCGGGTCTCTGGTCTGATGCCACAGCCAGGCCCGGCTGTGGTCGGGTCTCTGGTCTGATGCTGCCGCCGTGCTCAGCTGTGGTCAGTTCCCCTGTCAGATGCTGTGGTCGTGCTCGGGTGTGATCGGGTCTCCGGTCTGATGCCGCAGTCGTGCTCAGCTGTGGTCGGGTCTCTGGTCTGATGCTGCCGCCGTGCTCAGCTGTGGTCAGTTCCCCTGTCAAATGCTGCTGCCGTGCTCGGCTGTGTTTGGGCCTGTGGTCCGAGAAGAGATATCAATATCCAGCATGTCAGGTGTCGTCCTGACACTACCCAGTGTTCAGTGTTTTGGTGTGTCCATGGTGGTCCCACCAGCCAGGCACTGTCGTCCTCCACTGCACTGGCAGACAAGCAGGTCTCTCAAAGCTCTACCAACACAAAAAAAAAATAAAAAAGAAAGCATAACGTTTTCCTTTTCGTGTTGTTGCAAAAATTGTTTAAACTAAACATGTGTGCATCATCAAAATACCAGAGTGACAATGATTATCATATAAAGCGTACATGCACATTTGACAACTTTTGGGACCTATCCTGCAAGTGCCCAAAGCTAATACCTGTGCAACAAAATTAACTTCGAACGAAAACAAGCAAGCAGCCCTTGTCACCATTGTGTTAAATTATTTCTGTCGAGTTTGAATAGCTTCACCGACATACGACCTGTTTGATACTGATTATGGGAAGAGCTGAAAGGGTGTGCGCTGTACTGAACAGTGTAATCGGTGGGATTTAGTGAGATTACTCGTGTTGCACACACTGAACAGATTATTAAGGGATCATAGCACGAGCGTTGACCTTGGGTCCAGCTGTTCTCAGAGTAACAAAAAGCCGAATGCAAGATAACATCCATCATAATGGCGGTAGATAAAGAACACGACTTTGATCACGGCACATGCGCATGAACATGAAAAACGCTTACCGAGTCTGCTCAACCAAGCTATAGCTTAATTAGCTGCTGGTCAAAAGTACAAACCCGTAGTGCCATGCACAGTTCACAGGTAAAATGAACAGTGCTGAAAAATGGGGTGCCGATTTTTACAGCTGGCATTAGTCGACAGACTCCACCCATGATCCATTTACCTGACAGCGAGGTTTGCACCAGCTATTAGCTTAGGGTAGATTACAGCACTACGGCCGCATCCAAGCATGATGTCAGAAACGATGTTTTCAGCACGCGGGCTCGGCAGGCCCAGGGCGGCACCGACCTGGCAGTACCGGCCCCTTTCATCAATCTTGGGCTTTAAGTTGGTCGAGCTCCGCCTCGAGTGGCGTCTGTCTGCCAGCAGCGGCGTGTGTTCGTGAGCTCGACAGTTAGGTGCGGGGCCGACGGTGGGCGGGCGGCCCAGGCGCCGTCTGATGTTCCGCTCTGAGAGCGGTGACTCAGAGCACCCCCACGCGGACCCCTCGGACTCGGACTCGGACCCCACACGCGGACCCCACACGCAACTCGCGGCTGACGGTGTCCTGTAATCGGGCAGCCGGGGCGCCTGGGTGGAAGGCAATAATGAGCTCTGGATATAAGGAAGAACCGAAGCACGATAGGAGCCGCGTTCATGTTGTGATTTTACCATCTGTTCATCTAAATTGGAACAATTTCACAACTAAATGCAAGGCGATGAGCCGCACAGCCATCATGTTTATACGGCCACATGACTGATGTTCAGACGCGAACCGTATGACAAAGCAGGATGTGGTAAAAGCGAAGCTCTTGGACCCAATCGCTGGAACACTGGAATGTGGAAGTCTTTTGCGAGATAGCTGGTACTTTTTCGTACCAATGCAAATGATAACCATGCATGTAAACCATAATCAATAGAATACAGCTAATACAGGGACACTTGAGTTTTCATTTTTGTTTTACTATGTCCATAAAAAGCTGTTTGACTCACACCCAAAATCTATCTGTGGAAGTGGATTCCACATTGTGTTTAAGGCCCGGGTTCTACGGTTGCTGCAATCACAGTCAGCAAGACAATCTGACCTTTGCATGACACAACTCTTACAATACGTGCTAATTCGTGTTTTATCCCTTCAACATTCTCCAGACCTGCTCACGACCTTGTTATCATCGCCTGCGTTACCCTTCCTGCTAGTCCGTGACTTTTGAGCTTCGCAAATCAGCTGCCGCACAGCTTACAGCACAAAGCACGCCAGCGCGCGACGAGCAGCCGGCACCTTACATCGCAGCGCTGCCCCCGCACGGGACTCTGTCGTGCCTCCAAGCGAGCTGGATGGCCCTGACACCGGAGACAGGTCGATCTGGCGGCCGCGCCTCAATGGCCGGGCAGCGGCAGCTTGACTCTGACCCGGCCGGCCTCCTGAGCGGGGGCACACGCCAACGGCAGCCCGGGCGCCGTCCCAGTGTCGTATTGGAGCCGACCAATGGCTCCGAGCCAGGGGTTGTGTGGCAGCGCCGCCGGCCGCGGCGGGAGGCGCTCTCCCCAAGATACGTCTGATCCGGGACGGGGGTTGCGCGGCGGCGCCGCCGGCCACGGCAGGAGGCGCTCTCCCCAAGATACGTCTGATCCGCGACGGGGGTTGCGCGGCAGCGCCGCCGTCCGCGCGCGGGAGGCGCTCTGCTCAAGAGACGTCTGCCTCAGGGCAGGGGCTGTATGGCGGCGCGGTGGGAGGCGCTCTGCTCAGGAGACGTCTGCCCCAGGGCAGGGGCTGTGTGGCGGCGCGGTGGGAGACGCTCTGCTCAGGAGACGTCTGCCCCGAGGGCAGGGGCTGTGTGGCGGCGCGGTGGGAGACGCTCTGCTCAGGAGACGTCTGACCCGGGACGGGGGTTGCGCGGCAGCGCCTCCGTCCGCGCGCGGGAGGCGCTCTGCTCAAGAGACATCTGCCCCGAGGCAGCTGGCCTCGCCGAACACCCACGCGCATCGCGAGGTACTGAGCCGACCGTTGATTCATCCGAGCGTTGATTCAACCTATCACTCAGAAAGTGTGGAGCTGGCTGTCAGCAGATGGCATAGTTTCCTGACAAGTAGGAGATGAAGTGTACTCGAGCTGAGAAGTGTTGAACTTTGAAATTTGCAATATGTCATGACGTCGTTTACATATGTAATGGCTGCGACCACATTCGTATCTCCAGGACTGCATGTGAGGTCCGCTCTCTTGAACCGAGGCCGCGTTCGAAGTCACATTTGCGCACGCAGAGTGAACAGAGGCTGCTCAAGCGAATGGAGGCTGTTCATACGAGTCTGTTCTCTGGCGGTCACATTGGCCATCTGCCCGCACTCCACCCCCCCCCCCCCCCCTTAATCTATCTAGGCACATCAACATCAGCACATGTGAGTACCAGACCAGGTGAGCCGAGTCGTTCAATGTCTCCTGCGGCCCAGGATGCACCGCAGCCCACTAACCCGAAGACGAGGCGCCAATGCAAGCCACTAAGGCCGCCCCTGACCGCACCTCGGACTTCGGCCCACCCCGCCACTGAGGACGGGACCGCCCCCGCCGGTAATCAGCTCCATCCCGCCTCTGAGGACAGGACCGCCCCCGCCGGTAACCAGCTCCATCCCGCCTCTGAGGACGTGACCGCCCCGCCGGTAACCAGCTCCATCCCGCCTCTGAGGACGGGACCGCCCCCGCCGGTAACCAGCTCCATCCCGCCTC